CCACGTGTCAAGAAACCCGAGCTGGGATGCAACGTGTGGCAGTGCCGTACGGTTTCGTGCTGTCCAGGTGGAGAGCTTCTCCGGCTTCGTTTTGGTCCGGGGCCCTGTGCAAGGAGTCAGTCGCATGCCGTCTTTGGTTGGTGGTGTGACTGTGCCTTCGAATGCCATGCGGGAGTGCAGGCCAGCCCTTGAAAGGTAGCGGCATGTCCGGTGTAGGCCCAGGTCAACATTGCCAGCCACCAGGAACATGAGTCATTTATCCCAGTTCCGTGGTCACAATCGCAATGGAGTGGACATCATCTCACCGACAGCACAATAGTTTCATTTCGTGAACTTTAGTGTTTCTCTCATAATCTTTCGCTGCAGCATGTCGGACGAGGGAGAAGCCGATAGAGCATCCGGGCTGCAAGAACAATCCTCCGAGTTGCAATTTTTTGCTCATTTTGGTCTCTTCTCCTTGAGCCGATGTCAGGCTGCAATCGTCAAGTTATTGAAGAGTCGCCTCCAGGATGAAGAGCAAATGAATCGTGCCATCCTGGCTTTCATCAAAGCGATTTCGCAGAAGACCCCGCTGCCATCGCTCGGCGGGCGACTCCTGACGTCGAGTCTTTTGACTGCTGCTCTGGATGAGATCCGGCCTCTGTGTCCGTTTCCCGTGTGCCCGGCCATGCTGGATATGGAATATTCTCCATCCCTTCTAGAGCAAGAGATCCAGAAAGTGGTTTCGAACGTTGGCGACCCTGCCCACGTCTCCTTCACATTGGTTTTCGTTCGCTTGGACCCGTCGACCTTCACTTTGCACAAGGCAGTGTTTATCTTGTGTCGTGTCATGTCAATGTGTTCTGCCGTGAGTGAACAATTTCTTGGCAGATCACCCCGACGCCGAAGTACAACATGGCTGGCTACACGTACCTGTGGAATCTTCGTGAGGTGTGGCAGCACCTCCATCTCGCCACCAGCTTCCACATGTGGCACAGCAAGCAGATGAGGCTGGGGACCATGGCTGAGCTTGAATCCTCATGGGGCATTTCCAAGCAAATCGTCCGATCCGAGACGTACCGTGGGGACCAAGAAGTTCTCACGTGGCCTGGAGTCAGGAACGATGTCTGCTCGACATTAGGTCTCTTGCTCGTTCTGGGCCTTCAGGCACAGGTGCGGGGGATGGCTTTGGAGGCTCAAAAGAGTTGTCTCGATCTTCTCCGGAGAATTCTTCGCATTACTGGCCTGCCGGAGAGACTTGTCATCCTTCCGGAGGTGCCTCTGAAGATTGAATCTGGGCAGGTGAGTCTGAAAAAACTCCTCAGAAGATGTTCTGCAGCAGATCGACAAGCATTGAAGAGCAGGTGCCTCGATTTCACATCTTCTAATTCTAGACGTTGAGCATCTTAGTTTGACTGCAGGTCATGCTCATGTTTCTGTTAGACCTGAGCTCATGTTGAGGTTCCAGAAGTCTGCTTGCTTGGAAGCCTCCCGCCACAACTTTGAGGGCATGGTGCCCGTGCCGGACGTGATCTGGTTCTTCATGCGACTTCCGTCGGATGGGGATGGTTTTGAGACTCTGCCGGTCTCCCGCATCCAGAAAAGGATGGTGCACATTGTCAGTCAAGCCGTTGAGGAAACCTTCGCCGGTGGCAAGGTCTGTCTGAGACAGACACCGCCTAAGCAGGCAGACGAAGCTGGCTGCGAGACGCCGTGGACGGCCGGTACGAGAAGCAGCAACGCCAACCTTGCCCGTCAAGAACTTCTGAAGCGTTTTCTTCAGCGAGGTGCCGGTTTCGTCTCTGGACTGAACAATGGCAAAAACGAGGATTTGAAGTTGTCCGAGACGCCCGTGATTGGTACGAAGGACAAGAATGCTGGATCGGTGGCTGCAAACCAGTGGGTTACCGCCTACTTTGCATCCGCTGCAGATGCCTTGCTCCGCCGTCTCGGCAAGCAGGAGTATCGTCACATAAGCATTTTCGAGGACGGCTCCAAGATTGCCACACACGAGGTGGGGAAAGATGGGGTTAGAGAACGGGGTGTCTTCACGGATACATGGGCCTAGGGTGTCACCAGGTCTTGAACATCTTCGTCTCCTGCGACGGGCTTATGGTGTGCTCGCCGCTGTCGTTGATGCCGCAGCTGAAATTTACAGCCGACACCACGCCTGAGCAAAACATGCAGAAACTGGATGCATTGCAGTTGGAGGCCCCTTTGCAGGAACTGAAGCGAAAAGCTGGATGTGCATCCACGAAGGAAAAGCAGCTGTGCCCGACAGAGAAGATCACCACCAGGATGAAGCTGCTGGCTCTGAACCATTCATTGCATACCTTCATCAAGTTTCGTCTGAGCGACAGCAAGCCTGCTGTTCCTCTTCGCCCCGCTCGCAATGATGAGATCAGAAAGTCTGTTATGGTGAACGGTCGCCGGGAGTCCTTCCTCTGGTCTCCGAGCACGAAGCAATCTTGCTGGCAAAGCACGAATTATGAAGGATTCAACAATCTTCTGCGACTCAACATCCTCGCCGACGAGGGCGACGCCCAGGCACACTTTCAACTTGCCCTGGGCGGGTTGGCATGCATGGTGCACCGCGACCAAAGCCATAAACTCCACCGTTGCGAAATCCTCGCATTTGATGCATGTCCGGATCATGCCCTTGCTCGAAAGCATGCTCTTTTGGTTGCCAAGTTTGATAAGGCCCCTTGGGCCACATCCTCGTTTGGCAGACGCCTCAAAGAAGCAAGGGAGCGAGTTGACGAATTGGATTCCAACCACATCCTCTTCGACGTCTGCTCGGCGGGCATCATTGCAGACCGCAACATGCCTCCGGATTCAAGCTTGGCTGATGTCAAGCGGGAGCTGGTGCAGCTGGGAAAATCCGGTGCCACCGGATCCTGTCATCGCTCCGGCAGATGGGCGGACTTCCTAGACAGCTTTCATGGCCTCAAGGGCGAGTGGCACAGCCGTCTGTTCTTCCACTTGTATGCTCTCGCATTGGAAGGAACCAGCTGTTTCCACTTCTTGGCTACTGCCTTGCAGAGCCATGGCCAGGAAACTGACACGGCTTTGCTTCCAAAAGTGCTGAGAGCCACGTGGCTGCAAAGTGCGAGTGATTTGCATCTTCTGGGAGTGGGCCTCCTGATGTTCTCTTGTTCATTTCAGCTGTTCGGGTATGTGTGTGCAGAAGAATCACAATAATCGCCAGAGCAGAAGTCGCAACCGTTTCGGTTGTTCATGTCCGAACC